TGCGCATGCTGAAAGATAAGACTACTAAGAAGAGAAATTCCCTTAGCAACCCAATCAACAAATTCCTTGGCATTGGGAACAGTTGCTGAGAGGAAAACAAAACGAGAGTTCTTTGGTGCCATAACAATGTTCTCCTCCCATACCACACCTCTCTCACGATCTTGCATGTAATGTACCTCATCAAAAATTTCCCAAGCCACTTCCCGCATAATCTCTGAACCTTTGTACAACATACTACGCCAGATTTCAGTGGTCATGACCTGAAATCAAACTGCAACTAAGCAAACCAATTGATAGGATATTTTAATACCCAACAATCAAATTAGCGAAATGACTTACCAAGCAAGAAGCATTAGGATCAATTGCTACATCCCCAGTCATCAAACCAACATCAGAGAACTCTTCTTTGAATTCCTTATACATTTGGTTGCTGAGTGCCTTAACGGGTGAAGTGTATATGACCCGCTGCTTATTTCGCGAAGACATAGCAATGGTGTATAATGCTACTACAGTTTTACCAACTGATGTATAGGCTGAAATCTATGATAAATTACAAGTTTGAGCTATTATTTTTTTTACAAAAAATATCTGTACAAAGAACTCATAACAAGAAAACTCAAACTCCTATAGAGTATGTTAATCACCACTAACAAATAGGCAACATGATCCTACTGAAAAGTTTACTCAGTTGATGCAAGGTCTGTTTTCTCAAAATTTGCCAGGACTTAGCTCAAAAGAAAAAGGCATTTACATACAGTATTAAATCAATGAAAATAAATTAAATACACATGTACAAAACAACAAATATCTTCTCCCTTTCCTTCGGTTTGAATTACCCATATGAAGAGGTAAGGGATTAAGAACTCACCATAACAGGCTCACATTATCAAGGCACTTGATAGCTCCAGTCATCATTGTCATGTTAGTTCTGCTATTCAACCCTTAGTCTTTCCATATGATAGAGCATGTAAAATGAACTTCTTTTATGCTGGTTATTGGAAGAAAATATTTATTTGGTGTTATTGCGGATCCACCAACAACCATGTCACATTGTTTATACTAATTACCAACCAACACCGCTTCAGCATTATATTTTTCCTGCTGGAGGTGATGGTTTGTATTTGGTTGTGGACAAGAAGGGAAAATTTCGAGAAGATAGCTTCCAAAAAATTTTAAATGCTCTAATTCTCCCTAGTGTGGGTGAAAAGAAGAGACAGAGTGTAAAATCACAATAGGGTTTGATGGTGAGCAGACTTGGTGAAGAAAGTAACATCTTCAAGATGGTGAAAATTATCATTCAACGTCAGAATGACCCCGTCATACTTTTTAGTTTTAGCAAAAGGGAGTGTGAATTTCTTGCAATGCAGGTATGTTTTTATTGCCATAAGGAATCTGTTTTTTTGAGCGGTAATGGTCAAATTCATTGGCATTTATGATTTATGCATGCTTCTTTCCTTTTCAAATAAAAAATGAGAAAAGGTTTCGCATGCTTTAGGTTGCCAATTTACTTCCTAGCGTAACTGTTACTAGATTGGTACAAACCTCGTGACTAAAACATTGGTTGCCTGATCGTTGTTTATTTCTGTATTACATATGGAATTTTTGTTTTACATTTAGCATTAGGCTGGAGTTAGGCAAGTTGATATTGTATCATATATCATTGTCATTACTATTTTTCTTTTTTAAGTTATACCCTATGCTTTTGTTGCCCTCTTTGATGCAAGACAATTAATGTTAATTTATTTACTTGGGGATTTGGAGATAAATCTAGATTTCACACATGTGATTGATTAGATATCGTGCTTAGTAATTCTTAAGCATGAAGCTTAAGGATTTGGTTGCATCATACAATCAGGAAATTGAGAAAATTCTCAAAGAACCCTGTTGTCAAATAATTGGCTTCCCCGTAAAAGTGATTTATAGTGCTTGCTAAGTAAGCTTTCCAAATAGGACTGAGATACAAGATACTGATAGTAATAAGAATAGGATACTAAATACCTAAAAATGAATAAGACAAATAGGTGTATATCTAAAAGCATTATAATTTTTAATCTATCTAGTAAATCTAAAGCTAATCCATTTTGTGTCATTCTTGTTATCACTAATAGCTGGGAGATGTGAGCTGTTTATTTTGGCCCTCTTCTTTTCATTGTAGATGGCAAAGATGGATCTAAATGATGATGAGGAGAAAGAGAACATAGAAACAATCTTCACGAGTGCCATGTACATACTTTCAGATGATGACAAGAAACTTCTACAGGCAAGCTGTCATTATTCTTCCCTTAAGTTGATGTACTTTCCTAAACGGGAAGTTGCAAATGAATTTGCAATTGGAATGACTGTGCATGAGAATAATCATATCTGTCTGATTTTGTGGTATGAGTGTATCATCTTTAGGATAATGTAAATGTACACAGAACAATTTGGTGCCTAAAATGCTAGTATTTCTGTTGCAGTCATTTTAAGCATATTTCTGCTTCCATAATTAGCCTCAGTTGCATTTCAACTTTTAGGGGTACTTACTGTTCTTATATTCAATCGTAGAGATTGAAAGAATCAATTCAAATTCAATGCAAATTAGAAGTGACTTTGATGAATAAAAACTCATTTAAAAAGAAATTTGAGAGTTTGATTCCAACAATCAAGCCTTAACGATAAACAATAAGATAATACTCTTTTTTTATGTAATTTTTTTTTAACTTTTTTAAGAGTTTGTAAATTAACAATAAACAAATTTTATGAGTTTAAAATTTTGTTGTTTATGTTTTTTATCCAACAGATAAAGCATTTTGGTATTAAATCTAATGTTTTAACGGAGTGAAAATTTTTCTGTTTGGTCAAATGCGAGATTTATTTTGTTATGGGCCTTGCAACTAGTAGTGTATATAATTGTTATATATATCTTAGATATCTGTTTATTGTTATTCCCTGACCAAGGACATGGGAGTTGACTATTTTTATATCTTTTACTTGTATAAATGTTGGGTGTTTTATATTTAATGTATATTATGTATAAATACTCATTGTCATTTCTTTGTACATTATTTCTTTACAGGTATCAAACATGTTGCCCCTCCTGAAACGTGGAATAGGCGTGCATCACTCTGGATTGCTTTCCATTCTGAAGGAGATATGAAGGTACATCATTTGTCTCTCCTCTAACTTAGCATGTCAAAGTTATTTCTGCTTTCTAAATTGAACTTAAATGAGAAATTTATTTATTTAGATCCAGAGCAGCTCGTATAGAAAGGCTGTCAGGAGGTTGGAGGCTTTAGAGAGCCTATTTGAGAAGCATGCAATTGCCAAGTCTCCACTCATTGAACAAAAGCTCAAAGTTTTACACATGAAAGAAGAGTTGACAGCCAAGATAAAATCAATTAAGAAGACTGTATGTTCTTCCACGACATTGGCTTTTAAAGGTGAAAAAAGGCCAGAAAACATGTTTTACGAAGGCTAGGGTAATAAATCTTTTCTTCAGCGAATAACTTGCAAGTACCTGCATGAGTAATTAATTTGCTAGAGAGTACAACCTAGTTAACATTCACATGCACGTAATTTTTTCAGTTATCCATATGTATATGCTCTTCATTTATTTGGATAGAAAAAAAATAGAATAGTACAATACAGGAGGATTTGATGTCCTCCTAATCGTAGAAAAAAATAAAGACACAGGAGAAAATGGCAGCTTCATTTAATCGAGGATACAGTCGATCCTTATGTAAACTAGACAGTGGGTAGTCTTTCAGATGCCTATGTGCATAGTCAATCCCTATGCAAAGTTGTTAATCCCTTGGGCCTTCTTCTTGGCCTGAGTAAAACTTCATAGACTTTGCCAAAAGGGATTATTTAAGCAACATAATCTGGTTGATCCAAACTCATACATCTCAATATAAGTTCCGGATTGGTTGTCTCTCAATTTGTTCGTGCTTGTGACAATCTCAACAAATTACTGATGCCAAATCACTTAGCTCTGTTGGCACGTTCCTCACTAAGGTTTTCTCGTGGCTTGGTTTGAGCTTTCTTATGGCTTATGGATGAGCAAAAAGGACAAAAGATCAGTACTAGATGTTGCAAGGATATAAAAATTTTAGTAGGTTGTGGCATTGTTAAATTGCTTTCTTCAAATTACTTTTATGGTCCCTTTTTTTGTGGATCTTACTACATTACTACTAATGTTACTGTACATCATCATCTTATTATTTTTGAAATGCATTTCGTTGCAGATACATCACCAGTGACAATGTTTTGTGTGGCAAGAAAAGCTTCAAGACACTGCAAAACCCAGGGAAGAGCTTGACTTGCTTTTTACCCAATTACAAGATACAGCGAGTCAGATTGCCAAAGTTCAGCTTGAATGCAAGGTATCTTTAATCCTTTTTTCTTAGTTTTTGTCTTTTTTATCAGGATATCCCCATTTTTACTGTGGAGACTAGCCTATGGCATACATGCTAAAGGCCTTAGCACATTGGGAATCTTTTTGTGTGTGTCTTTGATTTTGGTTTCATTACTTTGGATTTTTGATTTTGGCCCATGACTTGGATAGGATGGATGATTTTGGGAACATCGTTGATATTCTAACAAAGCTGCAACTATTCTGCAAATCGTTGATGCTGTTATTTCAACGTATTTCTTATACTTTTTATTTAAAGAAAAAATTTGGCGTGTGAAAAAGAGATGGGTAAATGGCCTTGGACTACACGAGTTAAGAAGAAAAATTGAAGGATAGTTACCTGCAGAAAAATGTTACTTCAACATATAAAACGCAGCACCTTTTTGGAGTTGAAATATGTTCAGCTTTATTTTTGTTGAGAAACATACTAATTTTTACCTTTTTTCCTGTGGTGCCTGCTATCTCTGCTTTGGTTCAAAACACTTCACCACTGGATATGAAAGAAAGTACCTATTTAGCTTTACAATCAATGATAGAGATATCTTTTAAATCCAACGGCTAGAAAGACAAAGAATGATTCTACTTTGAGAGGTTACGAGGTAGAATTAACAAACACTCTTTCCTGAATCTGTATGCATATCTATTTATTTCTAGAAATTGTATTACAGCACTTCTGTTTTGTAAGTGTTTGCAGCATGCCGCAGTAGCATGAGCATTCAAATTATTTATGATTGGCATTTGGTATCGTAATTCTGGACATGATTCATTTCAGTAGCATCAAATGAATGCTTTTTTTATTTATTTATTTTGTATCACAGATCCAAATTGATGTGGAGGGTTTTGTAAGTTCATTTCGGCCAGATATCATGGAGGCTGTGTATGCTTGGGCAAAAGGATCCAAGTTCTACCAGATCATGGAAATGACACCAGTTTTTGAGGGCAGCTTGATCAGAGCAATTAGGAGACTAGGGGAAGTTCTTCAGCAGATTATTCTAGCGGCAAAATCCATTGGAGAAACAGAGCTCGAGGCGAAATTTGAAGAGGCAGTGTCCAAAATCAAGAGAGACATTATGTTTGCAGCGTCTCTCTACTTGTAGTTTCAGTTCATTCCATCATGCCACTAACAAATATGATCCTCGTCTGCATTTCAAATGGGTATTTCTGTATTATTTCCGCATAGAAGATGGTCGGGTCAAAGACTTCAAAAATCTGAAACAATTGACTGCAAGAATATTGCACAATGGTAGACGATTTTCATAATGATATTGCAACCATGTAAAATCAAGAGGCGAGGATATTTCTCCATGACACAGTTGCAAATTAATCCTCGTGGAAAATTAGCGGAGAAAGGAAGATAGAAGGATCGAATTGACATATAAGAATTTTCAAAGAGAGTAATTTATGATTATTGTCCATAAATTGAAGAGTGTAATTTGCGATTGTCAATGAGTTGAACCTTTACCGTTAGTGTATAGATTTTATAGCTTAAAATATTAATTTTGTTCTCGATTTTGTTAATGTTAAAGTTCTTTCGTCAAGTTGAGTTCATAATTCTTTCAGAATTGGTTTAAATATACACAACACTAAAAACCGAATACGAATTTGACCTATACGAAGAGAAGATTTTCTCTATATGAAATTTGTCAAAAATAATTATCAACGAACTTTTTTTAATTTATTAATACAATTATTGTATAGATTTAATAAGATAATTAATTTTATTGGTTGAGTTTATTAAAATTTAATAACTGTTATTAATTTAAAACTCAGAAAATAAAAGACTTTTTCTTAATTTTTTGTTTAAATTAGATTTAAAAGAATATATATATGAATTAAAAGAAGCATGAAAAAAAAAAAAACTTTTGGGTGAATTTATATCATACTGAATATATCAAGTACAAAAATGTCAATTTGATCCAAAATAATTTGGGACTAAAATCCCATCTTGTAATTAACAAATATGAACAAGAATGCTAATAATATATGAAGTGGGCAGATGGTGGACACGAAAAGGCATGTAATCAAGTTTTGATTTTAAAGCTTCTGGTAACAGGTGGGTTTTCTGGATATTCAAGTCCAGAGCTTCTTCTCCAACTCCTCCAGTATTTCATCCACTGTCCCAACCAGATCAAACAGATTCGTTCCCTTCTTATCACCCGCGGCTTTCTCCTCAACCACACTTCTTCATGGAACACCGTTCTCATTTACAACACCCTCATTCGATCTTATCTCTCTACGGGACTCTCTCGTACTTCTTTACTACTTTTCACCCGCATGATTGCGCACGGACTTTCACCAAACCATCTCACTTTCCCATCTCTAATCAAAGCTGCTTCTTGCTTCCCTCATATGGCTCAATTCTCCATGCTCAGGCTCTCAAATGGGGTGTTTTATGCGACCCATATGTGCAAACTTCATGCGTGAGGGTGGAGTTGCCGAAGTGTGTGACATACTCAATGCACGTAAGATGTTTGTGGAAATTCCCCATCCATGTATTGTGGTGTTTAATGAGAAGGACGTGGTTTCATGGACG